AGATCTTTTCTAACCACAGAGCTGTGTCTCTATCCCTGATGCTCATGGGCCATCCAAAGTGCTCCAGCCTTAAAATGCAAGGAAAACATTCATAGACACTTTGTCCTTTTAGCAATGAAAAGGCTCCCACTCTTTCCTTTCCAGGACTCTCTGCGGAAGCTTTAGAAAGTGGAAGCAAAGAGCTTTTACCAGCCCTGACTGCAGAACTTGGGAGGACAATGTGGGAATTGTTCACCAGCTGGGCAGCTTAGTCAAGAACCCACTCAGCAAACATTAAGATGTTACCAGCACCTCATTAGATCCCAGCGTTAATTATTTATTTCCCCAAAGAGAAAGAAGGTGTGGTACTAGCGTTCTGGGACTCAGTCATGGATCAGCTGGTTCCTTTGCTTATAACCTCAGGCAAGCCATTTCTTGTCCACCCAGTATGAGCTCCTGGTAAAGATGGGCCTTTATTCCCTTGCCTCCCTGAGTGGAGCCTTCAGGAACCAGAGACTTTTGAACAGCCCTAAGCCAGAGCCAGTGTTTCAGATACACACACCAGTGACTGATTCATTCAAAACGTATGCTTTCTTAAGGGATAAGCTTTTCGGAGGGTATTTATATTGACATGTTTAGTAACCAATTCCCAAACAAATCTAAGTCTGATAAAAATATATTTTTTACTGAACTAGAAGTTATTTAAAGATCTCTCTCTATGTACATATATAGAAAACTATTGTAATTATGGAATAACAATTTGGAAATGAAATTTGAACTGAGTTCTTAAAGGGAAGACAGGCTCTAATAACAACTCTATCTCTGATGCTGTGCTATTTCCCAAGGAGAGACATACACAGGATTTGCTTTGAAGGCTATTGCTTTGTTTGGGTTTTTTTTTTCCAACTGTAATTTTTCTTTTCTTTTTTGGTACTTGGGACCAAACACAGGACATTGCACTTGCTAGACAACTGCTTTACCACTGAGCTACATCCAAGCCCAAAGCTATTGTTTCAAATATATGATTAAATACATTTTTATAAACATCTGGGTAAAGAGGTAAAGTCCTGCTTTCCCTACCCCTCTGCCCCATTTCTAGAGGTACACATCTAATGAAATAAACTCACAGCCTAATCTACATCATCAACTCCCTGGTTTTCAGTTCTTAGTGTATATTTGAGAAGGCAAAGAATACTGATTCATCCTTGCCCTGCTCCTCTGTTCACTCAACAAAGTCAGAATCCTCAGGAGCAGGTTCAGTTCCATCTCTCTGGACTTCTCCTACCTTCAGTAGCTTTCATTTTTCAACAAAACCATACTGAACCTAGTGTTATTGAGCTGGAGGGCTGCATGTGTTTGTTCACAGTTCATCTCTGAAATGCTACCACGCTCTACTCTTTTGCACTCACAGAGTTATGTGTTGGAACAGACTTGTCTGTATGCCCAGGTGTGTGTAATTGCCCAACTGCATTGTGTTGTTCCACCAGCAATAAAAATCCAGCAGGGAAATGAATGCTAAAATTAGTTTGTTTGTCCTTTGACAAGATCTCCCCAGTTGAAAAAAAAATGTATTTATCTAACTAGCTGGGCAGTCTTTGTGCAGGTCAAAATTAAGTGCTTTGGTTAATGGTGCAGGAGATTGTATTTTGAAGAGCTTCTACCACATTCTCCTTGAAAAGACATTTGAGGGGAAAGAAAATCAGTCCTTAGCAAAGTTAGTACACTAGGTGTAGGTTTTTCATTTTTTTAAATCTCCCTCCTTGTGCTAATTGCATAAGCCCACTTCTGTATCCTCCATGTGTTGGATTGGTAGATGTGTAGACAGATGACTAGATAGACAATGGGTACAGTGGCAGACAATTTGATATGCCTTATGTGTCAAGTTTGCTAACATTTCCAAGGAAAATACTGATAGCATTGTCCTTACAGAAAGTATCTAGTAAACTTTACCTTATGGCTGCTGCTTTGTGCTTCATTTAGTCATATGTTTATTCATTCCACAAAAGGAGTATTTAACATGTACTTAGAATGAACTAGGCATGTGGGATATAGATTTGAAAGCAAGAATAGTCCCTGAGAGCAATGGAAGAGGTAACATTGGTCAAGCTGCATTCTACTAATAAGTTGATATGTTGAATTAAAACCCCTTTGTACAACTACTTCAAGATCTTTTTTAAAAATAAGATGAAAAAAAGAATAGTCCCTGCATTCAAAGAGCAGCATTTTTTAAAAAAGCAATTATACAAGTCATATTTAACAGTTGCTACAATCATTTCATATTTGTTTATAGTGAAAGATAATTCATATGCTATAAAATGCAAAGTATAAAATTGGATTGTTATTGTATCATTGGATTTTCATATATTTCTAGGATACTTTGTGTTTTTAAAAACACAAACCAATTGAGTAAAAAAGTCAGATTGATCTACTGTTTTTGTCTGCACAACCACAACACTTGGCTTGGTTTATTGAACAGATTTTTCACTGTGATGGCGTTGCATCATCTGTGGTTGCTTATGCCCTAAAGGGAGGAGGAAAGAGACATGAGGATGTTCTGTGCAGACCTGGAGGAGAGATCTACCCTAAGGAAAGATGTGTTGACCTTTGTTGTAAGCCACTATCACATATGGTGGCTCCAATAAGCATTTTCTTTTCTGCCCCTTACTTAGCCTTGCTAGTTCTGGTATCTTCCACAGCATCTCACCATTCTATTCTTACAGGAATATACCTTAAGAAGGTCTCTAGCTAGAGTTGAAAGACAGAAGCCTCATATATACCTCATATAAATTATGCCGACATGCAAATACCAGAAAACTTCCCATGATTTAGTTTTAACCGACTGGGTAAAAAAAATGTCTCACAGAGATTTTTCACTATATATTTTTGGACTTGAAATATGAAATGCTTGTTATTACAAGAAACATTGCTGAGTAAGTTAATGGGACCCATATAGGGATTGGGCAATCTGAATTGGATTTCTAGCTTTACCCAAATTTTGCTTTAATGTCTCGTTTTCTTGTGAAGATGAAGCTGACCTCCTTTCTGAGGTCTGCAAAGTAGTAAGGTAGATAGGTTGCAGGTAGAGGTTCGCAGATTAGTAAAAAGAATTTACCAAGCTGGTGGTATGGCTCAACTGGTAGAGTCCCAGCTGAGCAGGCATGAGGCCATGAGTCCAAAAGCAAACAATAATAAGAAAGCAGATGTTATCATCCTAACTACTCAGGAGACTGAGACCTGGAAGATAGCAGTTCAAAGATATCCTGAGCAGAAAAGTCCATGCAAGATTCCATTTCCAATTAACCGGCAAAAAGCAGGCTGGAGGTATGGTTCAAATGGTAGAGTGCTACCAAAAATTATGACACAAGAGAAAAAGAAAAACAAGCTTATTAAAATGCTAGTACGAGAGAGGAGGGACAACTAGGCAGAGGGGTGTAGCCCTGTAGATGGTGGTGGTAGTGCCACTGCTGCTCCTCCTGCTGCAGCTATTACTGCACAGACAATTCACTTCCTCCTTCTGAAATAAGGATACAGGAGTGAAGTAATGCTATCTTGGCATCTTAATAAAAGTTAATAGACAATGGGGACCTTCTGAGAACTCTAGAAGTGATAGAAGACATTCTTTTGGTTGCAAATATAATATATATTGAGTTGTTGAGTTCCAGGAGACTCACGCTCCCTCTAGATAACTGGGGTTCAGATTGCCCTTTCATATTCTCCTGGATTGTCTGCTCTGTGTATGACACTTCTATTAAAAAAATAAGTACCCTCATCTAGCTTGCTTTGTTTTATGTGTAAGGCTTGGTCTCTATCCAAAGCATGTAGTTCTTGTCTTTAAAAGCTATGTGCTAGCTCTGTTCTGGGCTGAAGATCTTTGAGACAGGAGTCCATCTGCAGACCACCAGTACTCTAATAAAGACTCCTGATCTGACCTCTCAAAATGTGGCTTCTCTGTTTTCTTGCCATACAACACTTCCACCTAGCCCTTTTCATGCACTTGACATCTGTATTCCACCTGGATGTTGGTATTTCTCCATCTACCATGTCCCCTTAAGTGAGAGTTTCCTTCACGCTTTGGACCTGAACACTCTCCTACTAGTAGCTATTTTCCTAGGGCTTATCTAATTGGTCGGCAGTCATCCATTAATTTTAAAAGTTCCGGAAGCACTCATTATCCTGGACAATACTGATTCCATCAGAATACAACTTTGGAACATCACCAGTAGATTTGGGAAAGAGTAAATTAAATTAGACTAATGTTCTTCACAGAGTTTGTGACCAGCTCCTGAAGACATCAGAATCACAGATGAAATTCACCATTGTAAATGTTTTAAGACCACAACAATCACACTACTGCCTGCCGTTTATCTACTCTTACATAAATCTCAATATACGTTCTTCTTCCTTATCTCACTCATTTTCACATTTTCCTTGTGATATCCCCACTTACTACAGGCAATGAGATTCCCAGAAATTAGATAAGAAGAGCAGGACCCAGAAAAGTGACTTGCCTGTGATGGGAAAGGTGGCTTTTCTATCCTAGATCCTTTATTATTCTTTCACCCCCCAAAGCTTGCCTGCTTTCTCCTCTGAACTATTCTGTGATAGTTTTTCCTATGATTTGCTAATGACTTGTCAGTTCCATTCTCATTACTTAGGTGCACCTGCTGACATTAAAAAGTATGTCATGAGTACATTTGGCAGTTAATTTTATTCACTGTCTCCCTTCTGTTTCATAGATTCCTGTGAGTTTGGGTTAATTAAGCTGAGTACTTTTTTCCTTCTCCCTTACTCCTCCTCCTACTCCTCTCCCTCTCTCCCTCCCTCTCTAAACAAACTGGTTATTCTCTAGGTGAATCAGCAGTGGAGGTTTCCTGGGTCTATGAGCCTCAGGAATCCTCAGTTCCTTCCCCAGTAGAGCCCAGGACCATATGCAGGGCTTCTGGATACCAATGACAAGACTGTGCACAGTTGCTTTTGAGTATATGTATATGTATATGTATCATCCTTTTCTTCTTTAAAAGGTATATGACCGATGGTGGACTTGGCCTCTATACCCGTCGCCTGAACCGGCTCCCCGATGGGATGGCTGTGGTACGGGAGACCCTGCAAAGAAATACCTCCCTGGGCCTTGGAGATGCTGACAGGTAAGCTTGCTGCACTTGGGGTTAAGATATAGCAGTGATTCCATGGGGGACTGAGAAGTGAGGGTGTGTATTAGGAAAGTGTAGCCCAAAGAGAGGTAGGGTAATCTGAGCCTGCACAGTAGATAAAAGAGGACTGCTGCCATTCCTGGGTGCTTTGTTTTTGTGTAGGATGGTATGTGGTTTTGTTGTTTTGTTGTTTCTGCTAATACTGAGGAATTGATCCCAGGCCCTTACACATGCTCACACTGAGCTACATCCCAGTCCTAGAGTGGTGTGTTCTGAGAATAAGAACATAGAATTCCACCCTAGGTAGTTTTGTTGTTGTTTTGACTGTTGCTACCTACCTCTGTCAGCTCCGTAGGCCTCAGGGATCCTTCTAACTTCCTCTCTCATTAGTCAGCTTTCTAGGTATTGCACCTTGTAACCACCCAGATCTATGTGCAGAGGGGAGTTCTAGCATTGGCTGAGTAAGCTTTGCCATAGGGCTTTCTGTTGCCTAGTAACAAGAGGCAAGGCTTAAGGATGCAGATCCATACAGCACATACTGAGTAAAATGACATTCTAAGGATGATTCTGGCTTTATGGATGCCATTGGCAGAGACCACACTTCAATGAAGAAAGAGAGCTATTTGGCCTCCCAGTTTTTAGAATTTACTCTGACATACACTGATTCTATGACCTTGAACAACTATTCAAGGAAGAATTTGGACTGCCTGATTTCCAAGGTCCCTGCCAGCTCTAGTGCACTACTGTATTTCTGGATATCAGAGCAGATGTCAAATACTCTTTAGTGATCTGACTGTTCAATGATTTTTCTGGCTTACTTCTTTCTACATCTGGACTGATGAGACATAACTGAGATAAGCATGGTTCGAAGTAACTAAATACTTTTAGGGTGCTCAGGTTTTGTAAAGCGAATTAGTGGCATGAGTTCACCTCCCTGCTGCTCTCCTAGCAGAGCATGCTTTTCATAAAGATCTGGATGACTTGTGTAGTTCTCTGGCTTCAGAGAAGCAGGGAGTACGTTGAACAGATACTAAAATCACACCCAGAAATGGAATTTTCTGAAGAGGAATATTCATTCTCCCTAGGGGAGGGCTGGAAAGCCTGGGCTGTAAAGAGATCTAGATTATCAGGAACTTGGGATCTGGCCTCTATCATTGAGTCCTGACTCAACATGAGTCCCCAGTTCATAAGATGGTCATTTATATTACAGATAGCAGAAGGCTATCTATTAGCGTTCTAGCTCAACACAGCTTTTTCCCCCTATAATAAATGAAAATACTAGTAGAAAATTCCATAGAAACAGCCATTTGAGACCTGCTCTTTCTAAGCTGTCAACTTTTTATGTAACTAAAATCTTTATAGTGAACATTAACAGTAGACAAAAAAAAACATTGTTATAATACCCCATCATTGATTTTATAATTTACCAAATTATTCTGCTTGTTTGTGTTCTCCTGTAATCATGTAGTTGGTTTATAAATCTGTTAGTCTAAGTACAGGCCTTCCAAAATGAATCCCCCTGTATAGCAAAAGAAGAATCCAGGCATGGCAGTTTAATTTAATGCTTCACTGCTAGGTTAATGGAATTATGATGGATCACAGCTGAGCTTGTTTCTGTGTTTTGGAGATAGAAGATTTGGGAGTGATGCTAGAAAGTTAGCACTTCTTACACTGTCTTTGTTCAAGCCTGTATGTTTGAATCACATGGACAACAGTATCTTTTTGATCCTTCTCAGACTAACATATAAGGTGTGATCATTTAAGATTAAATGGTTAACTAACCAAATTTTACTGAAAGACTTCAAGATGGATTTGGCCTCTACACTCATCTTTATATAAATAAATAAGATTTAATATTAATACATTTCTTTCTATTTTATTTAAGTTCTGGCTTGTAGGCAAGGAAATATTTTACATTGCTCTAGAAAATGATAAATTTCTTTCACCTCCAAAGTTACTATGAACAGACCACACTGATGCTTACAGAAATGTATTTGTTTATATAGAGTTTCTGTAAAGCTGTCTATGTAAACTTCTTACAAAGAATATATTCACAAAGTGGGAGGCTCATATTGGCAGTATAGAAATAATTTTAGATGATGAATAAGAAAATATTTCTCTCTGCCACTTATATTTTAATTTATTTTTATTATTTTTGTGCTGTTACTGGGGCTTGAGCTCAAGGCCTTATGCTCTTGCTTAGTTTTTTCAATCAAGGCTGGTGCTCTACCACTTGAACCATACTTCCACTTCTGCCTTTCTGCTGTTAATTGGACATAAAACTTTCTCAGATTTGTCTGACTGGGCTGATATCAAACCTTGATCCTCAGATCTCAGCCTGCTGAGTAATTAGGATTATAGACATGAGCCTCTAGTGACCAGTTAGTTATATTTTAATTTTTTAAAGTTATAATTAGCACATCAAACCCAGGAAAATATTTCTTTTTTGTGCCTGTCCTGGGGCTTGAACTCAGGACCTAGGCGCTGTTCCTGAGCTTTTATGCTCAAGGCTAGTGCTCTATCACTTGAGCCACAGCTCCACTTTTGGCTTTTTTGGTAGTTAGAGTTACTTTCTTATTCGGACTAGCTTTAAACCATGATCCTCAGATTTCAGCCCACTGAGTAGCTAGGATTACAGACATGAGCCACTATAGCACCCAGCAAGGAAAATATTTCTTTTTTTTTTTTTTTTGGGTCCGGTCGTGGGGACTGAACTCTGGGCCTGGGCGCTGTCCCTCAGCTCAAGGCTAGCATTCTACCACTTGAGCCACAGCACCATTTCCGGCTTTTTTCTTTTTGCTTATGTGGTGCTGAGGAATGGAACCCAGGGCCTCAGGCTTACAAGGCAAGCGCTCTACCACTGAGCCACCTTCCCAGCCCAGGAAAATATTTCTTAAGGTAAGAGTAGTATGGAATATGAAATACTACAGATCATAAATATGCAAATGACTGTAATCTGGATAATACTATTCTTGTTCTTGTAATTAAAATATATGCTTTTTAAACAACTAGACAAGTGACCAGAATTTTTCCCTTACATAAAAACAAGGGTTCCTAAAAAAGAGTTCCCTAAAAATACAAGGGTTCAAGAGCTAAAATATTTCAAGAAGTTCAAAAAATCCCAATGTTTGGACAACAAACATATAAGTTCTACAAAGGAAATAGCGAAAGTACTGATAGATTAGGCCTGATTAGACCTCATTAAGAGGAAGACAACATTAAAAAAAGTCACAGCACCTTGTGAAAAGAAAACCATTAACCGAGTAGCAGCTCAGGAGGATAGCGGCTATTCCTTAGGCCTTAAAAAAGCACTCACTTCCCAGACAAACCTTGGCTATTTGTAACAGGATATGGCTGGGGTATCTTTGGGTTATTAAAAGTAACTGATAGGACTGTATACCTTTAGGGCCCAGGAGATAGAGACCTTGTCAGTTTGTGAGCCCTGTATGTCACCAGCTGGCTTCTGAGAAATAATAAACATAGATAGGTAATTCTAAATGCCAAGTTTGCCCTTGATCTCCTGTCACTCTGCTTGGTTGCCACCTCTGGGCTCCAGTTCTTTCCTGATAGTGATCAGTGGCCCCTTCCAGCAGACTAGATCCAGCCATCTGAGAGGGAAGGATCAAAAGGAACAAATGGAGGAGCCTCATCAGGAGTCCTAGGCCCTAGATAACAGACAAATGAAGGACACATTGGGAGGAAAAAGAAATATGAAAAGCAGGGCCAAGAGACTGGGCTGACAATAAAATAGTTTGTTGGATTCTGCCAGTTTCTACATGTACTGGGGTACCCTTAGAACAGGTCCAAAGTCTTTAAGCCCCAGTGAATTGGGTGCTTTGAAAGCTAAAAACTTCAGCTTTGGGAAAGTCTCCACTTATGAATACATTTCTCAGTCACTCCAAAGCATCACTATGTTCACTACCCTATACCAGCCTTGTACCTTAACATGTTGAATTGAACCTTGACAGTTGAATTCTTCTCCTAACTGGGATCCCAGAGTGAGGATCACAGAAGTCAGGCTCAGTCTGCACATTAGACCAGGAGGACTTTGGAACTACTTGGTAACTTTCTCCAAATTATTAATGCGGATTCAGTGGCTTTTTCTTTTCAAATAAACTGAGATTTAAATTTAGGGCCTTAAGCTGAGGTTAGGGTTAGGGCAGGTGGTCTACTACATGAGCCTCTCACTCCCCCAGCCCTTTTGCTTTCATTATTTTTCAAATAAGGTCTTGTATGTCACCAGCTGGCTTCTGAGAAACAATAAACATAGATAGTTAATTCTAAATGCCAAGTTTGCCCTTGATCTCCTGTCACTCTTCTTGGTTGCCACCTCTGGGCATTTTTGCCAGGGCTGGCTTAGAACACACTTCTAGTTATGCTTCCATCGTAGCTGAGATGACAGGAATGTACCACCACATCCAGTTTTTTACTGGTTGAGATGGGGACAGAATGTCTCATGAATTTTTTGCCCAAGTTTGTTTCAAACTGCTATCCTTAGGACCTCAACCTCTTCAATAAGTAGGATAATAAGTGTAAGCCACTGTACTTGACTCCCATTGCTTTTAGTAATTTGGGCAGTGAAGCCACATTACTTTAAACCTACCAAAAACTAGGGGGAAAAAAAAAAACAACAAAATGTGGTATAAAGTTAGCCTGGGGCTGGGAGTGTGGCTTAAGGGTGGAGTGCTTGCCTAGCATGCATGAAGCCCTGGTTTGTATCACATAAACAAAAAGATCCTGAAGTGGTTCTATGGCTTAAGTGGTAGCATGCTAGCCTTAAGCAAAAAGAAGCTCAGGAACACTGTGTAGGACCTGAGTTCAAGCCCAGAGACTGGAAAAAAAAATAGAAAGCCTGTAGGTGGGTGTCAGTGGGTTACACATATAATCCTAACTACTCAGGAAGCCAAGATCTGAGGATCCTATTTCAAAGCTAGCCAGTCAGGAAAGCCTGTGAGACTATTATCGCCAATAAACAACCAAGAAAAGCTGGAAGT